GCGAAAAAAAAATTTTACTCTAAGTTTGCATTGCCTGCACCTTACAAGAATTTTCAATATCTTTATTCCGATACACTGCAGTGTCTCTATTCGAATATATCTTTACCATACACAATACTTTTATTGTTCATTTGAATCTAATTTTTCATTCACCTTGAGTTACAGAACTTTCGTAAATGAGGTATTTTATTTTTCAAATTACTCCATTGTTTATGTTCGATGACCAATGCAATGATTATGAATGACATAAAACAGTTTCGTTTCAAGATATTCAATTTGCTGAGTTGATACCTTAGATTCAATTTCAATCATATCATCGAACTTTTTGAAAAACCAGCAGAAATTCAATTTTCTCGCCGATTATAATTGTTCCGAGATACCGCTCAAGGTAATAGTCTATATTCGGGCGTTCATCTATACGCCCAAGTTGTATAATAATGGAATTTGTTCATGTTTCAAATCGATTTTCTTTCACTATTAAAACGAAACAGTAGCCTACAATTTAGAAAATATTTTCATTGACTGTTTCATTCTGGATTCGATCTTATGTTCATCATTATCATTCTTTTTCTCGAGTTGCTATATTGTTGACTTTGACAGAGGATTTTCTACGAGTTTCTATTGACTCACAGATCTAATTAGACCTTTCATACAATCGAATGGAAATTTATTTATAACAACTTTATCTAACAAAATTCTCATTATAAAGTGAATGATACAATTGAAACGATTGTCTATAAATTGTTCATCGATCTCTGGTCGGGTGAGATCACGTATAAACAATATTACAATGCATGTGCTCTAACATATTGCATGTGTATGTATGAGAAACGATTTGCCGTTCTCTTTACTATGACAATATTTCTGAGTGTTTTTTACGGATTGTCAGCAGGACTTCGTCTTGTCATTCCAGTCATGGTGAAACTAGTTTACAGTTATTTTTTATCATTCATCTGATATTACTTGATATGTTCTATATTTTTTCTACACGTCCTTCTTACAATTCTCTTTTCACATTGCTTGCTAAAAGAATTATTATATCATCTCATTCTTTCTTCTCTTTGATCATCTATGCACATTCTATTCATATTAGTTTTTTCTTAAATTAGTGTCAGTTTTGCTGGGCCAACTTGTCTTTATGTTTTCTTTCCGTTGTTCCGTCTAAGACATACATACATACACAAGAGTATTTTAAAAAATATTAGAATACCCAAATTTTTCGATTTAGAAAATATCTTTTATACACATCATTCTTGTCGATTCACGAAGGATCACAAGAATTCAATCTTTTAGTCAATGAATTGGTTAATATGAATTAAACATAAATTCAAAAAGTTAGCTCGTCAGCCTCTAGCTTTTTATCACAATAAGTGTCTCTGTACTTGCAATATGAAGTCGATTTACTGCGTTTTTTTCTACTCCGATTCAATGAAACCATGTGTAAAATGGGAATATTCAACTTGATCGATATTTTGACGATAAACTTATGGAACTGTTATGGAGTTTTTTGAATGGAAATGATGTTTTGTAAATGTTCAGATACGACAAAATTACTTTATATGCAGATGGAAAATAATCTCTAACTAAACACTTTTATATGAGCTTTGAGTACTTGTATCGGTCTTTCAAATGACATATTATTGGTTAATGTCTTCTCTTCTAATAATAAAGTATTTTGATTTTCGCACTTGTACAATAGAGAAGATGTTAATCTTGCTAACTTTGCTCTGATACGAAAAAATCTATTTGAAAAACGAATCAAACAGTTTTTTAGAAAGTTAAATTCTCTATTCACTGACATGAAAATCAAAATTTAAAATAATTTAAAAATTGAAAATAAAATTGGACCATGTATCTTGAGATAGGCATTATAATTCTTTATCTTAAACATATTTTACAATTTTATCAAAGTAGTCTTTAATTGAATTTTATGATGAGAGAAATTTTTCATTTCAGCAGCAAACTCTGCATCTTTGAAAGCAGTTGATGAGGTTTCCTCGTTAGTCAAGGAATAATAAAAAAAAAAGAAGTTCAATTCTTTTCGAATTTACAACTTATTAGAGGCTCTACACAACATTCGCGGGTTGTCTTGAAGAGCTAGACTAGTACATTTTTTCTCAAGTACAATTACGGGTACGTACTTGTTCAATTTTGCTGTCTCAATCTGATTCTCTAATCGTTCCTGATAGATAATGAGTTTATAATAATAAACGACCAAGTTTTATATTTTATTTTTTCATTGCCTAAATAAAACATGCCACAAGATGCAGCGTAAAAAGCTTCGTAATCTAGAATACCAAGCTTATTTTATACATGTACTCTAAATTTTCAAAATAGACGAAGTTGTATGAGATTAGCTTTTGACATAGAAAGCAAGATTTTTTGCAAGTACATGATGAATTTCCTTTTTTGATTTCATCAATTAACGAACCATAGTTTTTGCCTTTATTCTGTTAACTACATTTCGTCATTATTTAGCAATTCGAACTAATGTTGTACAATCATCAATTATCAGTATAACCACTTTTCTTAGGTCTTCAGTTCATTGTTTTTTCTTTATTAAAATGCTATTTATTCTGATCCATCCGTTAATTTCTATGAATAAGTCAAAATGACTTTGTCAATAGAGCTCATCAAGTCGGAAAATTTTTTGAACATATACCTTTGGAATGACTGATCCCATTTTCATACCTCAGGAAAAAAGAATATCATTATTGTTTTTGAACGACATCTAGCATTATGATGAATAATAATGTTTTCATGACGACAACTAAGAAAAAACAGTTTGTTATGAAAGTCATGGTTATTTCTGGATTCTTCTACAGTCTCACTTTTCATATAAATTAAGGCAAAAAAGAAAAAGATAATTTTTTTATTCTCAGGATGCTTACTGAAAGTGAAATGAATCGTAATATTATTCTTCTTACTGATCCAAATAAAATTACACGACAAAAAGCTCTTCAAAATCTATGTAATGATCTTAAATCATCATTATCCCTCAATGATAATAATAATGATAATCATTTACATCCACCATCAAATATAATCGAATCTATAATTAAAATATTCTCTGATCCAGCTGAAAAAAATCGTGATCTTTCATTAACATATATTTCAATGTATATTACAAAATATTGTACAAATGAAAATACTATTGAAAAAATTTTATCATCATTAATGCCAGCATTTGTACAACGACTTGGAACAAATGATATTATTGAACCATCAGAAGAAATACGTTTAAAATCTATATCAATTCTATCAGAACTTTGTCGTCTATATTCTAATGGTAATAAATTAGCATTATATTTAAATGAATGGATTAGTATATTAAAACGTACTATAATTGATCCATATCCAGAAGTAAGAAAATTAAGTTGTGAATTAACATCAAAACTTTCATTTAAATGTCATGAAAAATTTCATCTTATATCAGAAAATCTTATTAAACCAATTATAGAAACAATGAAACATCAACATGCTAAAGTACGTGTTGAAGCAATAAATGCACTTGGTAAAAGATTTGGCTTTGTTTTGTTTTTTGTTTTTAATGTATAAACATAATATTTATTAACTTTTGGTTTTTTTTTTTTTAGGAAATGTTATTCGATATGGAAATAATAAATCTGTTGAAGATAGTATATCACCATTAGCACAACGTTTTTTTGATCATACAAGTACTGTACGTCTTGCTGTTATAAATGTTGTTGGTATATGGATGCTTGAATTACGTGATCGTTATTCATATTTTCATATGATGTTACCACTTTTATTAACTGGTTAT